GAGTTGCAGCAAGTTTGCAGTCAAATTGACCAAACCTTTGTAATAGTTTTTCTGTATAATGGGATTGTGTAAGGACATACCCATCACTATTTCTCTTAATTTGAATTCTAAAATGACATCGGCTTGACCTAAGTCTTTCATGTCAAAGTTTGAATTCAACATTTTCTTTGTTTTGTTTATTACATCTTTATCACTTCCCATTATGAGCATATCATCCACATACAAGCAGACAATAACGCAAGTTTTATCATTACTCTTATTGTAGACACATTTATTAGATTCATTTATTTTGAACCCATGTGTCAACAAAGTATGATCAAATTTCTCGTGCCATTGTTTTGGTGCTTGTTTAAGTCCATATAATGACTTAACTAATTTGCACACTTTGCTTGCTTGTCTTTTAAGCACGAACCCTTCAGGTTGTTCCATGTATATTTCTTCATCTAGTTCTCCATTTAAAAAAAGCTGTTTTTACATCTATTTGATGTATATCAAAGTTGTATACAGCCGCAATCGCTATTAACGTCCTAATTGACGTTATGCAAGAAACTGGAGAATAGGCGTTGAAATAATCCAACCCTTCCTTTTGGCGATAACCTATGGCTACTAAACGTGCCTTGAATTTATCAATGGTTCCATCCGCCTTAAGTTTCTTCTTGAAAATCCATTTATCACCAATTGGTTTACTACCAAGAGGTAAATCAATCAATTCCCATGTGTTATTTTCCATAATGGATTCCATTTCACTTTTAATTGCTTCCTTCCATAAAGGAGCCTCGAAAGAGGTCATTGCTTCTTTAAAAGTTCTAGGTTCATTCTTGGACAAGAAAGCAATGAAATCTGGTCCAAAGTTTTTAGAAAATTTCATTCTTTTTCCTCTTCTTGGTTCCACATCTTGAACACCAGAAGAAGAGGCTTCATCATGACTATGATCATGAACCCTCTTTGTATTAGCACCAGATTCCTTTTCTTTGTAAGGAAATATATCCTCAAAGAATTTTGCATCCGCTGATTCTAATATAGTGTTAACATGTATGTCAGAAATTGATGATTTTATAACAAGGAACCTATAAGCAGCACTATTATTTGCATATCCAATGAATACGCAATCAATAGTTTTAGGTCATAATTTCGTTCTTTTTGGTAACGGAACTTGCACCTTTGCTAAGCGACCCCACACTTTGAGGGTTTTATAAGTGGGTTTATGTCCTTTCCATAATTCATAAGGTGACTCGTCAATCTTCTTTAGAGGAACCTTATTCAATATGGTATTTGCAGTAAGTAAAGCTTCACTCCACAAACTGTGTAGAAGCCCTGAACTATTTAACATGAAATTAATCATATCTTTGAATGTTCTATTTTTTTCTTTCGACAACACCATTTTGTTGTGGTGTGTATGGAGCCGTTGTTTGATGTATAATTCCATGTTGTGCACAAATATCTGAGAAGGCAGTAGACTCATACTCTCATCCTCTATCGGATCTAAGTGCTTTGATTTTTCTCTCAAGTTGATTTTCCACTTCGGCTTTATATGTCTTAAACATATTCAAAGCTTCGTCCTTGCTATGAATCAAATAAACATAGCAATACTTACTGCAATCATCAATAAAAGTGACATAATAATTCTTTCCTCCACGAGTTGGTGTGGATTTAAAGTCACAAAGATTACTATGAATTAATCCAAGTAATTCATTTGATCTTTCCAGAATTGACTTTCTCGTTTGCCTAGCAAATTTTGATTTAGTACATGTTTCACACTTATGAGTAAAAATCAATTTCAAATTTAGGTATCAATTCTAATTTAACCATTCTTTGCATGGAACGAAAATTAATGTCCTAATCTAGCATGCCAAATATTAGAAGACTCAACAATATAAGTAGAAATATTAATTTTATTAGCATCATCAATGGCAATTACATTGAGTTTCACGCGGCCATACCCTTTCCAACAAACATCCCACCCTTGGTAAGTACAAATTTGTTAGATTCCATCACAATTTTAAAGCCCTTAGCAATCAGAATAGGTCCAGAAACCAAGTTCCTCCTCATTTCAGGAACATGCAGCATATTCAGCAAGGTGAGATTCTTTCTAAATGTGAATTTGAGTACCACGTTGCCTTTGCCCTCCACCGCAGATGAGGCAGAATTGCCCATATATAGCTTTTCTCCATGGGCAGTAGGATGGTATTCAGTGAACAGATTTTTGTCAGCATAGATGTGTTTGGTAGCACCAGTATCCATCAACCATTCACTCCCATTTGAGACCATGTTGACCTCGGACACAACAGCAGCCAATTCTTCATTGGTGGTTGCCATGTTAGCATGGTTGTTGTTGTTTCCGTTGGCATGATTTCCATCTTTGCGATGATAACAATCTTGTGCCTTGTGACCAGATTTGCCACACACATAGCATGCGCCCTTTATCTTCTTCAAATTTTTGCCTTTTGAAGCAAGGACAGATTGTACAAACTGCTTGGGTTTCGAAGCCTTAATCTTCTTCGGCTTGGCCTTGGAGTTTCATCCCTCAACATAATTTGCATTGGCTTCAATGACAGTAAACCCTCCAGAACGGTCTGCCTTTTTGTGGTCTTCTTCCACTCGTAGCCTCAGAATCAAATCCTCCATATTCATCTCACGACGCTTGTGCTTGAGATCAATTTTGAAGTCATTCCAGAAAGTTGGCAACATTTTAATTATCGCCCCAACTTGGAAATGCTCATTGATCTTGCACTCCTCGGAGTGCAGTTCATAGATCAATTTCTGGATTTCTTCGATCTGAGAGACAACAGATTTAGAATCCACCATTGTATATTTGAGAAACTTACCGATAACAAATTTCTTTGAACCGGCATCATCAATCTTATACTTTTTCTCCAGGGATTCCCACAACTCATTCGCTGTCTTGCACAGAGAATAAATGTTGTAGAGATTGTCATCCAAACTATTCGTAATATAATTTCTGCAACAAAACTCAGAATGATTCCAAGCTTCAATTGCCATGACAATATCTTTCGTCATTGGATTCTCATTAGACTTCGGAGCTTCTTCCTTGACAACATGAGCGAGATTCATGGTTGTCAGGAAAAACAACATCTTCTGTTGCCATCTCTTGAAGTCCAACCCTTTGAACTTCTCAGGCTTTTCAGAGTATTTTGGCACAGCGCCATTCACGTTCACAGATTGTTGATCCATTTCTGTTGTTTCAAGATTGTTGGATATATGTCAACAATCTGTGATAAATTATATATGCTAATAAATAATAAATACTAATAAATATTGAACAGAGTATGAACAATGAAATAATATTAAACAGAAAAATTGAAGATTGAGGCTTGCGTACCGCAATGTTCTTGAAACAGAAATTTCGTCCCTACTCAGTGCTTGTAGTTCTTCGGAAGTCTGCTTCACCAAGATTCAACGATCTAAGTTAGGAATTCCAGCACCGGAAAAATTGACTTCTGGCGAATTTTTGTGTGGTTCTCTCAGAAAGGATGTTTATGATTGTAGAAGAAGAATGTTGATTTTTTGTGTTCTAAATGCCATGCAGATGGATGTATATATAATGGGATTATGCCTGTTCGCAATAGGTATGAGAATGTGGTGTGACTGTTGGGAGACATCTCTTCAGAGGGGTGCTTTGCTCTGCGTTTTTTTTTAACTCTTCAGACTTCATCTGAATGATAAGTCTGTTGGTAATAATAAAAAATTAATTAATTAATTAAATTCGAAATTAATTAAAAATAATTAATTAAATAATTTAATTATTAGAGCCCGAGCCCCAAGGCCCAAGGTCCATCTTTTGATAATTAATTATATATTAATTATCAATTAATTATTACACCCCAAAGCCCAATCCCAAGGGTGAGCCCAATTTTAATCTCCAAGGCCTATTACTCAAATCACTTTCTATAAGGAACAAAGCCTTATAAAGTGAGGAATCCTTTTGAGAATGGCCAATGTGGGACAATGAAATTTCTACTCAAAATTTCCAACAAAGGGAAGGGAGTACATTGAATGGGAAAGAGGAGAGAGAGGGAGAGAGAGAGTCCGGAGTGATAATCCATAAAATAAAAAGTCTAAAAACACACTTTTTGTGTTTTCAACCAATAGCCCTTGTTTTCAGATGTTTTTGAGTTATGGTTTTGAGAATTGTATTCAAACCCACAACCAAACAAAGATTTAAATTTGTGATTCAAAACTTGTTTTTGAGTTAAAAACATTGGATCCAAATCAAATACAAAACAGGCCCTTAGAGATTGATAATTTTTTTGCTGGAGTTTTTAGAAGTTTCGTGTCTATCTTTCGACTCTTTTTTTCTATCCTGAAGGTTTTTACAATGTTAGTCTATTTGGCTTATTGTTTTAGATTGCATTGTATATGCCGTTAGGCTATTGAATTTTTTTTTGTATTTTTTTTTGCCCCATGACAGCTTATTCAAGCAGCGTGTCTTTTTAAGACGCAAATTTTATTTTCATAGTCATGTTTGATTTTTACGCTATCGTTTGTACTCTTTTGGTGTTCAAATAAAACATCTTTTTGAAAAGAAAAAAACCCCCAAGTTTTTATTAACAAATATGATTTGATTCTAAAAAAAGATAAAGAAAAATCTAATTGTTCTTTTTCTTCTTTTCTTCCACCAACCTACTATAAGAGAGATTTTTAGTGTAATCGGAATATGAGGTATGAGGTGGTACAACATATCTAACTATACAAATTGTGAGATATGTATGTTAAAAAGTTAATAACTTAAAAAATATAATTTCTCACCACTTATATAAAAATACATGATGTACCATACGTGTTTCGGTAAGAAAGAAAAATTTCTCCTACTATTGCATGAATTAGACATTTTTTTTTCTTTTCTACTGTGACTTGTGAGAGATAAAAGTTAGAATTTTGTGGAAGAAACGAAAAATAAAAAAACGACGGTTGTGATGCGCGCTACACACTAAACACAAGTCGCGTCACGCTAACGACACTTGTTATGGAGCCACGACCCCCAAGCAATATAATTAGGGTTTTTTTAGAGAGAGGCGCGCAGACTCGCACAAACTCCAGAAGCAAATTTCAATGGCGTCGAGAATATCTCTGAAGAGCAAGGGCAAGACTCCGGCGAAGCCCTCCAAGGGCTCGGAGGAGCGGTCGGTGGCTCAATCCTTCAAGGAGTGGAGCACGTGGGCCCTGAAGAAGGCCAAGGTCGTCACCCACTACGGCTTCATTCCCCTGGTCATCATCATCGGCATGAACTCGGAACCCAAGCCGCAACTTTCCCAACTTCTCAGCCCCGTCTGATGCGATCCGGGTTGGATCATCCAATTTCCGTGATGGGATTTGGGTATTGTCTCTAATGGGTTAGTGGGTCGGTGCCTTTTTCGTGGAATCGACATCTTATGGTTCTGGGTACTGTTTAGGGTTTTGTTCTATATTTTAGGGAGGTAGTAGGGTTTAGTAATTGGATTTGAGGAATTTTATGTATGCTTTGCTTAAACTGACCAATGGGCACTTTTCACTGAGGACGTTGCCTTTTGTTGTTGGATTTATGGAGTATATAAAACTTGGGGTTTCTGCTTCCTAATAATCCTATTTGATTGCAAGTTTAAGTCTGATTGCAATTATAAGTTTGGGGTTTCTTAGTTTTGTGTAATGTTATTTCTTGCTTTTGCGAATCTTGTGTGCAACTTGGTTGTCTGCCTTTTCTGTTTGGTAGTTGTTTGAGTAATTTGTGTTCAGGTTCATTGGCGTGTGATTCTTCCAAGCTATTTTCTGAGAAATCATATGTACCTTGACCGAGTATTTTTCCAATGCTTATTTAGGGATGTATAGCAATAGTCACTAGTTTTCATACCCTGCTTCGGGTTGAAAACAGTAGTGTTTTGTATCAATTTTAATTTTCCTTTTTGCTCTATGATTATGAGGCGTCGAGAATTTTATCGTAGTACAAAAATCATTTGAAGTCTTTGATTTGTTACATATTTGTGGACCAAGACAAAGACCCGTATTTTGCATTGATTGCGTTAACCTTCCCTAGTGCTGCAGTCAGGCTAAACCGAAGCGGACAACCATGTTGTCAACGGAATCCTTTCATGTCAAACTGAAGGGAATTTGGTTAGATTTTCTCTCCATTCAGAAAACAAAGAAGGTTTTGCGCTTGTCTTTTTAAGAGCTGACCTTGATTACACTATTGAGTAGGAGATTGGTTCATTTCAGACAGGAAATATATTACTATTCCTGCAAATAGTAGGTTATAATATGTCTGTCATTAGATCGTATTCTGCGCTGTAATGGTGGATCATTTGTATTAAATTTTGTTTTGTCTAGGTATCTACGATGCATGAAGTAGGTATACATTGTCAAATAGTACATGTTTTACAGCATCAATTTTCCCAAACTTGATTGCTCCCCTTATGTCGGTAAACAACAAAATAGCATCATGAGTGATATAATCTCTTGCTCCTTGTTAACTTCCATCTGGCGAATGATATAATCTCGTCTGCTTACATCCCTATAATTTCATCACCTTGTTGATTGAACGTTATTAGCCTCGTGAGTGGTATTGTTGTATGACTTGTATCTGTTTACACATCAGTAGCTCTTCTTTTTTCACTAGTTTTTGGAAAGCTGTATGATTATCCTACTTATTGTTGGAATATAAGTGTTTGTGCTAGAGAAATATTAGTTTAAGTCTTAGTATTTTAGGTTTAAATGTGAGCCATTGGATTATATTCCAATTGGGCAGCTGCGATGTAATCTTAGTGTTAGTAATGTGTTTGCCACTTGTAGCTATCTTATAGGGTAGATTATATGAATGGTGGAGATTGAACTTTGTGAGAGAGAATCCCTCCCTTCCCAACGGTATTACACTTGCACATGTCTTGTGTGCTGAGTGTGAATGAATGAAAAGGATCCTTCTGTGAATATTCTCCCTACAGCTCTTTGAGATTTCTCTAGAAACCTTCATCTTCATTTTCGATTCATTCCTAACAATAGAGATCATAGTCTCTAGATTCTAACATGGCCTCAGAGCCTCGTTTGGTTGCTTAACAATGGGTGATTGAATCTGTTAAGGAATTTAAAGAAATTGCTTGCAAGATCTGTGTCTAACATGGTAGGGTCTAGAGGTGGTGAGCTGAGAGCGTCGATCTTCAACGGTGAGAATTATGAGTTCTGGAGCACAAGGATGAAGACTATTTTCAAGTCTCATGGATTATGGGAGTTTGTTGAAAAAGGAGTAGAGTGCTCAGATTCGAAAAGAGCTGATGAATCTGATGCAAAGAAGTAGGAGGAGGAATCGAGTGATGTTGCAACTCTCACAAAGAAGCTCATAAAAGATGCCAAGGCGTTGGGGCTGATTTAGTGAGCAGTTTCTGATGAGATTTCCCCTTGAATCTCTTATGAAGAAACTTCTAAGGGAGCTTGGGATATTTTGATGCAAGAATTCCATGGCGACAAACAGGTTAGAAGTATCAAATTACAAGGTCTTCGTAGAGAATTCAAATATACAAGAATTAGAGATGATAAGTCTTTGCCTGTTTATCTTACAAAATTGTTTGATCTGATAAATCAAATGAGAAGTTATGGAGAGGAATTGTCTAGAGAAAGAATTGTGCAGAAAATGTTGATTAGTTTACCCTTTGCGTATGGTCCTATATGCTCTGTGATTCAACACTCAAGGGATATAGATATGATTGAGGTTCAAGAGGTGGTTGCCATAATGAAAAGTTTTGCACAGAGATTGGAGAGACATAATGAGAAAAAGACTAAGAGAGCATTTGCAAGTCTAAGTGTGAATTTCAAATCTGCCAATTCTTCTGGAAATCAAGGCAATCGATACCAGAAGAATTGGAAATCAAAATTTAAAAAGTGGGATCAAAAGCCTACTTACCAATCTAGGAAGCAAATTGCAGTTGTAGAAGGTGGAAGAAACCCTTGCAGGCACTGTGATAAATACCATTATGGAGAATGTTTTCTTAAAGGCAAACCTAAGTGTCGCAATTGTGGGAAAAATAGGGCATATTGTAAGGGACTGCAACAACAAGAAAAATGTTTAGTAGCTAAATTTTGCAACTCAAGTCCTTCCTACCCCAACCATGTTCTATGCAATAATGCGATTGACAAGAAGTCTATTGAAGATGTATGGTATGTGGACAATGGTTGTAGTAACCACATGACTGGTAAAGAAGATGTACTAGTTGATATTGATAGAAGCATAACTGCAAAAGTAGAAATAAGGACAGGGCAATTGGTTGCTGTTATTGGAAAAGGAAGTCTGGTGGTGGACACGAAGATGGGAAGGAGGTATATCAAAGAAATAATGGTTGTCTCTGGTCTTAAGGAGAATCTACTAAGTGTAGGGTAGATGATGGAACATGGATACTTTCTGATTTTGGGAGATAATAAGGCTGAAATTTATGATGACTGCTTTCTCTCTAATCTGATTGCTAAGGTGCCAAAGAAAGGAAACATAAGTTTTCCTTTGAAACTTCAAACATATTTACATTTTGCATTAAGGGCAAGTGTGAGTAAGTGAACCTTGATCTGGCATAGGAGAATGGGACATCTAAATGTCAATAGTTTGAAGTTGCTACATGAGAAAGAAATGGTACTTGGATTGCCAGAAATCAAGAACACCAATGAAGTGTGTGAGGGGTGCATTCTTGGGAAACGTTGCAGAGATTCTTTTCCAAAAGAAACAACAAGCAAGGCCACTATTCCGTTGGAATTGGTCCACACTTGATGTTTGTGGACCAATGCAAACTGTTACAAAGGTTGGAAATATGTACTTCCTCATCTTTATAGATGATTGTACTCGGATGTGTTGGGTTTACTTCCTAAGATACAAATCTGAGGTGTTCAATGTCTTTAAGAAGTTTAAGGCTACTGTTGAATTGCAAAGTGGGTATAAGTTGAAGAAACTAAGAAGTGATAGAGGATGAGAGTATACATTCATGGAGTTTAACAAGTTTTGTGAAGAAATGGGAATGGAAAGACAACTTACTGTGGCATACTCACCACAGCAGAATGGAGTGGCTGAAAGGAAAAACAGGACCATTGTGGAGATGCCTAAGTGTATGATGTTTAAGAAGAAAATACCACTGGAGTTTTGGGTTGAAGCAGTGAACACTGCAGTATATGTCTTAAACAGGTGTCCAACTAAAGCCTTGGACAAGAAAACTCCATTTGAAGCCTATAATGGAAGAAAGCCAGGAATTAAGCTTTTGAGAGTGTTTGCTTCTCTGTACTATGCATATATTCCAAAACAACAGAGACAGAAGCTTGATTTGTCTAGCACAAGATGTGTATTTTTGGGGTATGGAAGTTGTGAGAAAGGCTACAAACTGTATAACATTGAATCTGGAAAAGTTGTCATTTCTAGAGATGTAGTGTTCAATGAGGAAGCAAGTTGGGATTGGAGTGCACAAAAAGAATGTAGTGTTTCAGTTCCATTTATTGATATACTTACTGAGAAAGAAAATGAGACTAGTGAATCAAGTTTAACTCAAGCTGAGATTACAGAAGGTGATAGTGAGACACTAGAAAATATTGAAGAAGCACATGATGGAATTGGTGCTGCAGGACATAGTGAAAGTTCAGGTCCACTGGATTTCGATCACACTCCACTCAAATATAAAAGCATTGCAAAAGTTTATGAAAGATGCAATCTGTGTATCATTGAGCCTAAAACATTTGAAGAAGCTGCCAAGGATGAATCATGGCAGAAAGCAATGGAGAATGAAATTGCAATGATAGGGAAGAACAATACTTCGGAGTTGGTTAGTAGACCATCTGATAAGCTAGTAATTGGTGTCAAATGGGTTTACAAAACCAAGTTGAATCTCGATGGCTCAGTGCAGAAAAACAAAGCAAGACTGGTTGCAAAAGGTTATTCTCAAAAGCCTGGGATAGACTTCAATGAAACCTTTGCACCAGTTGCTAGGCTTAACACAGTTAGAACATTGAATTAGATGTGAAGTCAGCATTTTTAAATGGAGTGTTTCATGAAAAGGTATATGTTGATCAACCCCCTAGATTTGTGATTAAGAACAAGGAGGATGGAGTTTACAGACTCAAGAAGGCATTATATGGTCTTAAGCAAGCTCCAAGAGCTTGGTATGAGGAAATCAACTCTTATTTCACTAAGGCTGGTTTTCAAAGAAGTCTACGTGAAGCAACATTATATGTGAAGACTGTTGAAAGTGGAGTACTCATTGTTTCTCTATATGTGAATGATATCATCTACACTGGGAGTTCACAAGAATTGATGATGGAGTTCAAAACTGAGACGACATTATGAAATGATTGATCTTGGGTTGTTACATCATTTCTTGGGTTTAGGTGTGATAGAAATTGATTCTTACATCTTCTTGCACTAGAAGAAGTATGCAAAGACACTGCTGGATAAGTTTGGTTTCAAAGATTGTAAATCAGTTGCTACCCCTATTGTAGTGAATGAAAAACCATCTAAGATAGATGGAAGTGAACAAGCTGATGAAAGTCTATATAGATAGATAGCTGGGAGTTTGCTATATTTGATTGCAACAAGGCCATACATCATGTTTGCAGCAAGTCTATTAGCTAGAT